GTGTTTGGTTAGTGGTACCTCTTGCTTAGGTGTTGCAGCCCAGGGGCGGGCTGGGCCGGGGGGCAGGGAGGCAATTGCCCCCCAGGCCGCCCTAAATTCTGTTAGGACCGGCCACTGCAGGGCCGGCCCTTTAAATGCTGCAGCCGCCTGAGCGTTCTGTGAAGAGCCTCAGGCGGCTGCAGCTGCTCTTCTCCCCCCCTCCCCTGTAGCGTGGCCGAGCTGCTCGCTGGTCCGCTGTGCCCGGCCGGACTGATAGGAAGGTGCACACTCAGTGTGCACTTCCTGTCAGTCCGGCCGGTTACAGTAAACAGAAACTCCGCGCGGAACAGGAATTTCTGTTCCGCGCGGAGTTTCTGTTTCCTGTAACCGGCCGGACTGACAGGAAGTGCACACTCAGTGTGCCCTTCCTATCACTCCGGCCGGCCACCGCGGACCGGAGTGCAGCTCGGCCACGCTACAGGGGAGGGGAGGGGAGAAGCTGCAGCCGCCTGAGGCTCTTCACAGAGCGCTCAGGCGGCTGCAGTATTTAAAGGGCCGGCCCAGGAACGTGGCCGGCCCCCAGGTGCCGCGGCCCACCGGGAAATTTCCCGGTATCCCGGTGGGCCAGTCCGGCCCTGCCTGTGGCTGCTACTGATGACCCTGTGCCGTCAATCTCCCTTTCCTGGGACTGCCGGCGTGCCAACCGGTACGTCGGCGGGTTGTGGAAAAGGAGTTTGTTGGCTCTTCGATGAGAGCCATTGTAAGTGGTTTAGCTCCTGCAGATTCCGTCACGAGTGTGCTATGCTGTTTCCTAAAGGGCAGACCCTCCGCCGCAAAGGACGTTGGTCGGGACGACGTTTCTCGCGGGGAGGACGCCGGTGAAAGGATGCGCTCGTGGCTCGACCGGTACCCTAAGCAGGGCGTTGCGGAATTGTTGTTCGACGGGTTCGCGTTGGGTTTTTGGATCCCGTTTGTGGAGTCGGACGAGGGTCAGTTTGCTACGAATCTGCGTTCAATTCGGGGTAGGGAGGAGTTGTTAAAGGAAAAACTGGACGCTGAGGTTCATCGGGGACGGATTGCCAGCCCCTTTGATTCCCCCCCTTTTCACAACATGAGGGTGTCCCCTCTGGGTTTGGTTCCCAAAAAGGAACCTGGGGCTTTCAGGTTGATTCATCATCTGTCCTACTCCGCGGGTGGATCGGTCAACGACGACATCGATGAGGAGGTGTGTAGGGTGCATTACACTTCATTTGACTCAGCGTTGCGGCTTCTACGGCGGGCAGGACAGGGGGCGTTGTTGGTGAAATCGGATATCAAGTCAGCTTTTTGACTGTTGCCGGTTCATCCGGATTGTTTTCACTTGTTGGGGTGTTACGGTTTTTACTATTATGACATGTGCAAGCCTATGGGCTGCGCCATTTCTTGTTATTATTTTGATCCTTTTTGGAGTGGGTTACAATGCGCGTGTCGGGTTTGGTATCCTTGACCCATTACCAGGGTGATTTTTTGTTCATCTGTCCTGCGGCTTCGTGGGAGCGTGCTTCCTTGTTGCAGGCTTTCCGACAAGTGGCGTTAGACTTTGGGGTTCCAGTTGCGGAGCAGAAGACGGTCGACACGGTGACGTTCCTGTCGTTCTTGGGAATCGAAATTGACACGGTCCGGATGGTTTTTCGTCTCCCAGACGACAAGCTGGTGATTTTGTTGTGACTGGTCGACTTAGTCAAGGGTTCAAAAAAGGCTTTCCGCATTGGCGAGCTGGTTGCTCCCAACAGGAGGGCGGCTTCGCCGTTGTCGCTGTCGGAGGCCAGGTGGTCAGAATCTTCCGTCGACATTTTCGTCTGTCGGTCCAAGACAGACCATGAGGCTTGCGGCGCCTGGGTAGGCATTGGGTCCACTGGGGACGAAGTCCGTCCGGTTTAGGCTTTTCTCGGGTTTCTAAGGGTGTGGTCGGAAAGGCGGGCCCTCTGCTAGTTCATGCGGATGGGTTACCTCTCACTTGGTACCAGTTCACCGCTAAGCTTCAGAGGGCCTTGGCGGCCGTTGGGGTGGAAACCCCAGGGTTCTCGGCTCATTCCTTTCGGATTGGGGCAGCTTCTCAGGCAAGTCTGTTGGGCTACTCGGCAGCGGGCATTAAGCACATCGGGAGATGGGAGTCAGGGCGTTTTAAGTCTTATGTCCGACCTCAAATGTTGTAATGCTCTTCTCGTTCTAGGTGCAAGGCCCCGGTATGTGTGGATTTTAGGGCACTCCTATGTATACTGGGCTGCTCGGCGGGCAGAAGACCGATCCTATGGACGGAATTTGGGGTTCTCATTTGAGGTTGCTCGGGTCAGGTGGAAGGGTGTACGGGGCCTTCTATGGCAACAGGTATACCCAGAGTGCGTAGCGCTGCATAAGTTTGTCTCCGGGCCCATGGTGTTGGTTGATATTGGTGCGGTGTAAGTGACAAGGACCTACACCTATAAGTGGAGCGCTTAAACACAGATAAATCTTACCAAAGCGTAGTCTCATTCAATGGTAAAATATGGGGTACATGTCAAAATAAAATACAGAAAATACAATATAGTGTAGACGGTACTAAAAAATGGCTTCACAGTGATTATAATAATATCGCGTTGAATATTACACTCACATTTCAAGGAGCCTGTATATAGAAAACACTGGCTCCGTATAAAGAAGCTGACTGAAGAAGGTCCTTGTCACTTACACCGCACCAATATCTACTAAATTTATTCAGTGGAATAGAGGATATTTCCACACTAGTGTATTGAGCTGCCTGTAAATCACTTTTTGACTCTTTTGAGCACTTTTGTTATACACACTCCTCTGTAAAAAGAGGCAACCTTTGATTGGTATCCATGGTGTTGGTTGTCCACGCCGGCGGCAATGATTTAGGGAAGGCTAGGACCGTCGCCCTTCTCCATGTGATCCGGCATGACCTGGTGAGGTGTATGGCACTCTTTCCGGACATGACCTTGGTTTGGTGTTTCCAGGCCCTGCTCGCGGGTTGGAGAAGAGCCGGCACAAGCTGAATATTGCAGTGGGAAGGTTTGTGCGTCGGCTGGGTGGCGTAGTTGTCAGGCACGTGGAGCTTGAGGGAGACCACCTAAATTTGATGAGGACCGATGGGGTTCATTTAAATGCCATCGGGTTGGCTATTTTTAACGCTGGGCTGCAGAATGGGATCGAGGCTGCGCTGTCTGTGGGGGGGCGCGATGGCGACAAGGGATTTGAACTAACGTCGTCATCATGGTGGCAGAAGTCCTGGCCAGGCAGAAGCAGAAGAAGGTGCAGTGAAGGCTTGGGGAGTCGCAGCCTGCTGGGAGCTGATGGCGGAGGCAGGCTGCTCTGAACTCATGGTTTGATGGGATAGACCTGTCTGTTGGTGAACCACCCCAACAGCCGACAGTGAAAAGGACTTGCTGGCATGAATATTCAATAAAGCTGTGGCCGTTGCCCTTACCCAACATAATAAGGTCTGACGTGTGTGGGGGGGTGGAGGGACATTCCCTGGGTAGTCAGCAGTCAAGACCCTCCCTGGACTGATAGGGAAGGGGGGATATGACTGATGCCAAGATAAGGGGTGGGAGCTACAGGGATACAATTTAGCAATATGGACTGGCAGATATATAGGCAGTTAGGGGAGGGGACCAACCAGTCAGCCTGGAGAAACTGTGCAGGGATCCTGACTTTCCATCCCTCCCTATGGTTTTGTTAGCGATGGTAATTGTTGGTCTATTTCTGGTGCGTGTTTTGGTTTTCTGTTTCTCTTGTTTTGTCACAGCATGCGGGAGTCCTGACCAGCGCAGGCAGAAGCGGAAGAAGGTGCCGAGGAGGCTTGGGGAGTCGCAGCCTGCTGGGAGCTAATGTCGGAGGCAGTCTGCTCTGAACTCATGGTTTGATGGGATAGACCTGTCTGTTGGTGAATCACCCCAACAGCCGACAGTGAAAAGGACTTGCTAGCATGAATAATCAATAAAGCTGTGGCCGTTGCCCTTACCCAACATAATAAGGTCTGACGTGTGTTATTGGGCAGCGGGGTGGGGGGACATTCCCTGGGTAGTCAGCAGTCATGCCAATATACATACTGACATACTATACATACATGATATTGCACACATACACAGAACACAAAGTTTCACAAACTGACATATGCGCATGTAGGAACACGAATATGCACTATCACTTTGCATATAGAAACTCTGATACATATGGACACTCAACACACAAGATGCAATGATATTACACAAAGAGACACATTTTCATACCTTAACTGCAGGGGTTAGCTCCGAAGGTACTATTCTAAAACGGTTTGACTACTTACAATCAAGTGAAGGGGGGTACTAGGACGTGGTCATGGTTATGGTGCTTTGAGTGCTCTTTTAAGCATGATTTATTTTGAATATTTTAAAACAAAACCATTACTGGCATTTAATCACATTGCAGGAAAAATCAGCATAATGAATTATACAGTGTTGAGTTTACTGAGATGGATTTGTGACCCAGCTGCATGTACAGCTTTGATTCCCGAAAAGATGCAAGCTTAGCTTATTTTTTATTTTTTTATGGCTTACATTTCGATTTTTATTGTGAGCACAACATTTAGAAGGTCATTCCCCTTTGTCAAGCAAACAAGGATAACCCCATGATGGACAAAATGCTCCCAGGTATATGCCATGCTAAAAAAGGCCTTTCTCACACTGGGGTTGTCATGGTGACAAGGATGGATACATTGTTGGGGGTCCATCCTTACCTGGACCGGGAGGCTTACTCGCAGGGGTTATAGACCATATATGGAATAGCCTTCCAGCTGAAGTGGTAGAGGTTAACACAGTAAAGGAGTTTAAGCATGCGTGGGATAGGCATAGGGCTATCCTAACTGTAAGATAAGGCCAGGGACTAGTGATGTCCCGAACTGTTCGCCGAACGGATCGCCACGGTTCGCCACGGACTCATCATTGAGTAAACTTTGACCCTGTACCTCACAGTCAGCAGACACATTCCAGCCAATCAGCAGCAGACCCTCCCTCCCAGACCCTCCCACCTCCTGGACAGCTCACCAAGAATGCAGCTTCACAATGGATGTTGTCCAGGAGTTGGGAGGGTCTGGGCGGGAGGGTCTGCTGCTGATTGGATGGAATGTGTCTGCTGACTGTGAGGTACAGGGTCAAAGTTTACTCAATGATGAGTCCGTGGCGAACCGTTCGTGGCGAACCATTCGCGAACTGTTCGGCGAACAGTTCGGGACATCACTACCAGGGACTAATGAAAGTATTTAGAAAATTGGGCAGACTAGATGGGCCGAATGGTTCTTATCTGCCTTCACATTCTATGTTTCTATGTTACAGTACAGTACCTGTCATGAAACCAAAACTACGTATTCTGCCTTTATGTTATACTAGCAGTATTGCTTGCAAATTTATACATTATCAGAAAAACCTAAAAAATATCAAGAATCACAAGAGTACTTGTGCCTGAGACACAGCAATCATCATATTTGTACTTAATATATCTATGCTATCAAAAAAAGTTAATTTTATTTTGGTAACACAAAATTTCACCTACATATGAGTCAACAATTCAGGTAGCACAATACAAAGATATACCTCACGTCTGACAATGAAACCACCAGTATGTCAGCATTATTGGGGACAAGCAACCTACTTAGGAACATTTTTCCAAGCAGGGACATTCTTGCCTGCACAGGTGGGAGCTGGTTGGGTGTTCTATTGGGGGTATTAAGGAACACATATAAACTCTTGACCGGTGTATAGTCGCCATATGGGCAGTTGGACTCCAGGACAACCCTCCCACATATCTAACCCAATAATGCACTGACACTCGGGTATATGGGAAAATTTGTCCACAGCTTTATTAAACAATCTGAATAATAATAACCATATATTCAACATAACATAATAATAGTAATAATTTAACAAATAACATGGGTCATTGCCCCCCATACTCCGCCCTCGCATCCGATTCCTTCTGTTAATATAAAAGGCAATGACCCCCATATAAATAACACATATATATAACATATACCAACATTATTCCAACATACCAACTTGTAGTGCCAACATAAATTTAACCATGGCAGGGGTATACCCGGATACCCCTACCCCACCAGGTTCTGAGCCACCGACAGGACTCGAAACCTACCAACCACCAATGACCACAGTTTTCCATATCTGTCACGTTCATCCTAGGGAGCCTATTCCTTCTCCTTCAGCTCCCTATCCCGCCACAAGCTCAGACCTTGACCCCTTAAGCCGTCTGAGCTCCGCCACCCCGAAGAAATAGCGCCTTGGTTATTCCGTCTTGCCAACCCAGGTTCAGCAGGTCACATCCCACTGCCGAAAGATGAACGCCATCTGAGCGGTAGTACCCCGGCAACCCGCCTTCCAACTCGCTGTGCCGCACTACTACCCCCCCCAACTTCCTTACGAAGCTTGCCATCAAGCTATTCACCTTCTTTCTACACTTGTCGATGGCCACCGGGTCCCTCGCGATAATCTCTGACCATACTAACATTACTCCCGGAAGCAGGTCCCTCAATTTGTTGAGGTCCTGCTTCATCCACTTCACCAACCTCCGCTGCGGTGTTAGGCCCAAGTCATTGCCCCCCGCATGTAGCACCAGCAGGTCTGGCCCCCGCCCGCCTGCCACCATCCGGAACACTTCCCGGCAAACTCCCCCCCAGCAAAAACCCCTATACCCGAACCATTGCACCACCAACTGGTCCCTTGAAAAGCCCAGCTGCTGGCCCTGAGCTCGAGCTGCGGCTCTCCTTTCGGCCCAGAAAACAAAGGAATGGCCCACAATCCATGCAACATAGCCTGGGGAAGAGAGAAAAAACAGATTGTAACAACACCCCCTTATCGCCCTCCGGGAACCCCCGAAAAAAGGCCCGACATATCATTCTAACAACCCCAACCGCACGTACGACCGGAACCGTACTGACTCCCACCTGCCAATTCGTTTAACTACGTCATCCCCCAGACCCAACCTTGCGGCTTCCGTGGCCGCCCCGATGCGAAAGGAATGCGTACCAAAGCTATCCACCCGTAACCCCATTTTTCCCAGGCCCCACCGAAAAACCTTAATAAATTGAAATCGGGAGAGGGAAGACCCATCTGCGTGCACCAGGAGGGATCCCCCAACCGTCGGCCTCCGGACCAAATACTCTGCCACCGAGGCTACCGGGCACAGAACAGAGCCCGGCAGGGCCTGAAGTGTCACATCACGGCCCACCCCCCGTGAATCCGTCTTAGATTTGGCCAGGTGAACCACCAATTTCCCCCCTTGCAGCCGAACCCCGGAGACCTGTAGGCCCCCGGCCGCTACCCGATTGGCACTCACCAACTCGCTAATCCGGAAAGCCCCGAAGAAAGCCAACAGAAACGCTGTCCGAAACAGGGACACCTCAAACTCATCAAAGCAAATTCCAGGCAGCCCACTAACCAGATCCCCCAACACCCGCACCGGGGCGCCTAGTGTCTGGAAACCTGCGCCCCTTCCGATAACCCTTAAGCGCCTGCCTGATGACGAAGGACTTGGTAACGTCCTCCTTCCCATGAAGCTTAAACCAGAAAGCCATCGCTGCCATGGACCTGTCAACCACTGCCGGGGAGGCCCCTTTTGCCAGCAATTGACAGGTGTACCACAGAAACGCGTCCCAGAGCGATTCCCCTTCCGGCACGCAATCCGGCCCAGCCCAAGATCGTTCCCACGAACCCCACACCTTACTGTAAGCGGCCCATGTGGCCGGTGCCAGAGAAGCCTTCACAAGTCCCCCAAGCAGGACGCTCCCAGCCACCAAATTTCGTCCGGGCACGCCTGGCCCGTTTCCTGCGCCTCCGGTGCCACCGTCCGGAATCGGGACCACTGAAAATGAGAGAGAGCGTCAGCCACTTCGTTCAAGTACCCGGGCACATGGCGCGCGCGAAAGACAACATTGCGGGACATGCACATTAGGACGAAGTGCCGCAGCAACCGGACCACTGATTATTCACTGCGTGCACTACCGCCATATTGTCAGAGAAAAATACCACCTTCCTGTCCCGCAGCCCTTCCCCCCACAGAGCCATCGCAACCACCAGCGGGAACAATTCCAGGAAGGCCAGGTTCCGCATAAGGGGGCTCTGCCCCCACGCCAGCGGCCACCTCTCCGCGCACTATTTCCCACCAAAGTACGCCCCGAAGCCCACACTACCCGACGCGTCAGTGAACAGCTCCAGCTCTGTCACCGACACCCCTTCCTGCCGAAAGAACACTGTCCCATTAAAGTCTCGCAAGAAGGTATCCCACACGGCAAGGTCGGCCCTCATGGCGGACGATACCCGGATGAAATGGCGTGGGGATTGCACCCCCGCCGTAGCTGCCGACAGGCTGCGGCTAAAAACCCTACCCATCGGGATTACCCGGCAAGCGAAATTCAACATCCCGATCAACGACTGCAGCTGCCGCAGGGTGACTTTCCTCGCCCGCGCTACTGCTGCCACCGACCCTTTCAGCCCTTGCAGCTTTGCCAGCGGCAGCCGACATTCGCCCCGCACCGAGTCAATCTCCAGCCCCAGGAAACTAAGGCACACTGCCGGGCCTTCCGTTTTATCCGCTGCCAGCGGGACCCCGAAGCACCCAGCGACCCACTCAATAGTCCGCAGCAAACGCTGGCAAGCAGGAGTGCTTGCCGGCCCCACGCAGAAGAAGTCGTCCAAATAGTGCACCACTGATCCATTCCCTGCCTCCACCCGTACCACCCATTCGAGGAAAGTGCTGAACTTCTCAAAGTATGAGCACGAGATGGAACAGCCCATGGGGAGGCACAAGTCCACAAAGTATGCCCCTTCAAAGAAACACCCCAGAAGGTGGTGACATGCCGGGTGGACCGGAAGCAGCCGAAATGCTGCCTCGATGTCCACCTTTGCCATCAGCGCCCCGCGCCCGGCCTTCTTAACCAGCTCGACCGCCCGGCCGAATGATGCATATGAGACCGAGCACAACTCTTTGTCGATATCATCATTCACCGACGCTCCCTTGGGGTAGGAGAGGTGGTGGATGAGCCTGAACTTCCCCGGCTCTTTCTTGGGTACCACCCCGAGCGGGGAAACCCTAAGGCCTTCCAACGGCGGTGCCGAGAACGGGCCCGCCATCCTACCCAATAAAACTTCCTTTTCTAATTTCTCCCGCACCACCCCCGGGAACTCCGCCACCGACTTAAGGTTGCGCCGCACCCCAGATCCCCCCCTGTCCCGGAACGGGATAAAAAACCCTTGCCCAAAGCCCGCCCGTAGCAACTCGGCGTCTGCCCTGTTACCGTAGCGGCTTAGCCATGGCTCCATCGCGTCTAGCCTCACCGGGGTTAAGCCCCGGGGCAGAGGAGACCCCTCCTCCCCCCCCCAACCGTAGCAGCGACTCCGGTATGTCCTGACTTCCCCTTTTTGAAGCATCGGTTAAGCCCGTGTGTGCCCCCGCAGCCGGAGCACTCGTGCTTAAAACGACAGGTGTTCCCCCATTTGCACTGGCCTTCATTGAAGAGCCAGCATGAGCCCTTTTGCAAGGCGGCCGACGAGGCTGACTGCCCCTTTGCGCCGGCCGTGTGCTGAAAGGGCTGCGCCTTCTGCGCCATCATCAATTTCATCCAGAGGGGCAGGTCCATTTGGTCCCATCTCATACCCGGATTAGCCGCCAAGCGCTGCCGGAACTGCTCATCATACCGCCACCACGCCAGCCCGCCGTAGGTGCGGTATGCCTCCCAAATTCCGTCTAAATAGCAAAACAGGGAGGAGCACGATTCCGGCGATTTCTCACCTAGGACACTGGCCAGGACGCAGAACGCCCTTAGCCAGTTGCCAAAAGATTTCGGTATCTTACGATACCGCTTCTTTTTCTCCTCCTCCTCTTTTTTCTCGTCTTTCTTATCTTCCTCCTTGAGGTCTATAAACTCCTCTAAGGGGAGAAGGGAAAAGATTTCACAGAATTCGCCCTTCCAGATCTTGTCTTTCACCTCCTGTTTGAGGTGCACCCCGAGCGGACCAGCGAACGACACGTATGCGTGCTGTCTGGCCGCATCAGGGACCCCCCCACCAGTCAACTCCGCCCGCTCACTCGCTGCGT